CCCCAAAACCCCAAAACCCCAAAACCCCAAAACCCCAAAACCCCAAAACCCCTTTTAAGAGGAAGAGCATTGAAAATTTCATTAAAATTAGTAATAAAAATTATTTCTTGCGTATTAACATGTGCAAATTGTTGGCTCTCCCTTTCCTTTCACGAGGCCCATCACTCCTAGTCATCGAGATCGAGGGGAGCGACACTTTTGAAGGGGCTATATGATCTTGAAACGATGGGAATATATCAACTTACTGTTTCTCTTAATCCCTTTGATACTACGTATAGGAGACTGTGGTTGGTAAGCAATTGCTTGTTTTATTAGGTTAGAATTATGCGCAGTCCCACCTAAAACTTAACATTTAGTAATACTAATCTGGTGACTGAGCTTTTTATGTCCGATATATTTCATTGCATGAATTGAGCTACCTCCTGGGCTTTTTGAGGGGGATTTCTAAACATCACAAAGTTGAGCTACCTTGCTTCCATATCTCAGCTGGACGAGTCTTTGAGAAGGCTTCATTATCTTTCCTTTAATCTCATACTTCTTTATAATCTCTTGAGAGTCATTCGAGCTTGAGAGTCTCTTTCCAGAAGGGCTCAACGAATTGACTATCACAGGTAAAGAGGATGCGTTTATATCCTGGTGGTCTCTCTCATACAACGGAGGACGATTCCTATTGTAAGGCCCACCTTTATTTCATATTCTTAACAATCGGTGATTTCTTATTGGATAAAATTATATGGTTCCTGTTCCTCTTCTTCAGCCCAATGACCCCTACATGAGGCGTCCTGCTAGACGAAATGTTGAGAGGAGCGATTTTATGAGAATTAATGTTCATTGACATGTCCTTATTTAATCATATCTTCCTACAGAATTAGCCATAGGCATACCTTCTTGCTCTTAATAGAGAGGTTATTCTGGTTCTTTACAATATTCTTATACTTCATCTTTGGAGATATCTCTTTACTTGGACAAATTATTTTTCATGATAATCTGAGCTTTAGAAGTATTCTTTGAGTGCTTGCTTACAGAACTTTGGCTACCCATCCTTTCACTAATGATAGAATTCTTACTAGCTGTGTTTGCCTTCGACCTAGACAATGTACCACGATTGGCCAGAGGTTCTGAACTCTTGTTTACTTTTTGTTTAAATGGAAGAGTAGAAGCTTTGATGTTCTCTGTGAAATCTTCATCAACTTCCTCTTCATATGATGGTTTAGGAAGCTGGTTTGTTAAGTACATAAAATTTTTCGGGAACCTTATAGTTTTTAGTAGCTCACTACTTTCTAAAAATTGCTCACTTTCTGGAAACAATATTGAAATTTTCTTCATGACTGAAGGCATTGCAATAATTTCATCACAGTCAGGTCTTTTATCTGGATTAGCTTTCAGCAATGACCGTACTAAATTCGATAATTCTGTTGAATATTTATTTTGGGATTGGCTGATATAATCCTTTTGAAACTTTTCTGAAAAGGCCTTCCATGTTGCTCGCTCTGAATGGAGGTTTAAAGGTGATCATTTCATATAGAACTCAACCTAAAGACCATATATCACTCTTAATGCTATACGGACGATCTTTCCAAACTTCAGGACTCGCATAATACGGTGTTCCTGTTTGAGTATAATTCAGTCCTTTCATATCAGTTAGCTTACTCACATTCATATCTCCAAGCTTGGCAGTTCCGTCCTTATTCAAAAACACATTTGCGCTCTTAAGATCTCTGTGCATAATAGAAAGATCATGAAGTGCTCTCAGTCCTCTGACGACCTGTATGAATACTTTCCAAATGAAGGTTTCTTCGAAGCCATTTTCTGAAGCCGAGATCTTCTGGAACAAATCTCCATCATCTGCATACTCTATGACCAATCAGAGGGATTGACTGTCAGTGTCAATAAACGACTCTTTGTAACATATAACTCAAGGGTTTTTAATCGATGCAAGGATTCTAACCTCATTGAGCGCATTCTCCTTCTCTTTATCGGAAAGGTTATCTACTTTGACCTTCTTGAGGGCATAAATCTGACCGTCAGAAGTCCTCCTGACTTTATACACAGTTGAGTAAGCCCCATCCCCTAGAAGAGACAGGTTCTCAAAGTCATCTAAAGACATTTCTATTTTAATTTTATATTCAACATGGGTTTGTTCTTCTGGGGTTTTGGGGTTTTGGGGTTTTGGGGTTTTGGGGTTTTGGGGTTTTGGGG